ACCTCACAACAGTCCCCTCTCATTCCCATATGTGCGCTGAGCCTAGACTCAAGCGTTTTCTCTCACACACACACACACACAGAGACACTGAGACACACGCACACACACACACAGAGACACAAACTCAAAGACACACTCATCAGCGTGCGCGTGCTATGGACTACAGAAAGCGGAGCGTCCAAACGTACTTCGCAACAGCCGTCACACACTGTAGGGATGATCGAGTCAATGCAATCAAGAGTGTGCTCTGGGGGCACATCGCTTCTTAGGTCGCATAGGGGCATATCATGGAAACCAACACAGGTACATGCAGGCAGAGATGCCCCTACTTCTTGTTGCAAGCTTGACTGCACATGTTGCACTCAGAAGTCAAAGTAGTATCCAGAATCCACAAGCTAGAAGCAAAAAGCGGAGCAAACACCGAGTCGGGCCAAGGGAGCCTTCGGCGACGCGTTGTGGAGATGCGAGAGCCCTCAGCGCAAAAGCGCAGAAGGAGCGCGGAAAGACATCTGAGGCCCTGGCCGCAGGAGGCGTCGAAAGCCACGCTGAGACGTTCTCGCCAAGTGAAGGGTACCTCCAGCTCCGAGAGCCAAGACTCCGCTCATGCCCACCGCATGCTTGCTAGCATGGGGGCGGCGGGGCCGGGCACGTTGTCTTGGGCACATCGTTGGAGCCGTCGGAAGACATCGCCACCCGCTAGATGCTCGTAGACAAGGAACCGCTGGGGCCTGCGCCAGTTGGCAATGTTCCGGCAATCCCAGATGCTTCTGAGCAGTCGGACCCATGGCGGGCAAAGCCCATCAGAATCACCAGGTTTGGATGTCGGAACTTGCTCAGGACGCGCACCTCCTCCTGCCGGCCAACGCGCCACCAAACGAGTCAAGCGGAGGCCGAAGCACCATCAATCACGCTGAGAGCACGCAGACCAAGCTGGTGAAGTGAGCGAGCGTCCTCAAAGCCGCCTTCATCGCCCACGTCTAGCACCTGCATCTACAGGAAAAATGTAGGACACCATGCTGGTTTACCCAGGCATGGCCGAGCCGAGGGCCTTGATGGCCACCTCTGTGCCATCCTTTTGGATGCCTCGAAAGACTCCACCAAAGGATCCATAGCCTGAGGCCATGTGAAGAATGGCCATCACGTGCCGATCGCCTCGGACCCCTGTGCCTAGCCGCAGGTTGCCGCAGAAATCGTGCGTGGCCTGAGGCGCTTCCCTACATCTCATCTCCTCTGTGGCTCTGCGTCTCTGTGGCAGGGCCTGCTGGAGTTCTTCGAAGGGATACCTTGGAGCTCAAAGCCCTCAGCATCTCAGCCCTCCCTCAGAGCTCCAATGTTTCATGTCATGTCTCGTCTTCGACCGAGCGGCTCCAGACTCAGCTGGTTCACCGTGGTCGAGGCGGCCATGGGGGGCACATGTCAATTAATTGGCTCATGCAGAACTGGCGTTGCTCTGAGCGGAAGCTCAAGTTCTTTGACCAACCTATACCAACCTGCTTACAGTGAAGATGAGGATGAGGGTGAGAGTGAAGATGAGGGTGACGGTGACGGCTGCTCACATGGATCGGCCCGAGAAAGCTCAGCAGGTAGGCGAGCGCGAGAATGAGGGTGGAGTGAGGAGTGGAGTGAGGAGTGTCGAGCCACACATTTGGATTTCAGATGCTACTGGCGTCTACTTCCTGTTCGTGCTGATACGGCCACGTTGAGCCATAGCATGGCATCAACCTGACAGCGGTGGAATATCCTAACGTTCTTTCAATGCACAGCATTGAAAGACGGCTCGACTCTAGACGCTCGACGTATCTCGACGTGCTCATGTACCTAAAAAATGTCGAGAAGTGAAACCAATTGCACCTTTGGCCTTCGGCAGCTTCTGGCTGGCTGTCGCACGCAATCCCAGCCCAAGGCGAAGATTCATTAGCATGTGGCGGATTTGGCGGAAGTGCAAGAGCCAATCAACACCACACGACTTGGACGGGACGCTCCGGCCGCTACTCGCTCCACTCCTTGGATCCGATCACCGGCAAGTTCAAGCCGCACCTGGCGCACGGGCTTGGGGACGGGAAAGGACTCCAGAGTACAGCAGACATAGGCCACTCCGCAGTCGCTGCTTCGATTTCTAACATGATGTCGCCCAGGACTTGCGAAAATGGGACCTTGAACACAGCACGACCTGCAAGACAACTTCAATCCCTATCAGCTCCAGCAGACATGAATCCAACCCACGGACGCCTGTGATCCTGCGACATCTCCGATAAGACAGTTCAAATTATATACGGAAATTCTCAGCCTAGGCCCCAAGCAACCTTTCGGGGTGATGCGCACCAAGCGCAGGCCCTCCCAAAGCCGCCGGCTGTGCTGCAGCACAAGGGACTGACCGCCCACCTCCACGGGGACCTGCGCTGCAAAAATACTACGAGTGAGGCGGCCACCGCCGGACCCTCCCAAACCCTTTCCCTGGCCGCCCTGGCCGCCCTGGCCGCCCTGNNGTGCTGGCCATGAAGCCACAGCTGCCGGTGGAGAAGAGCTTCGGCGCTGCCTGCAATCCGCTGCTGTTCTTGTGCTTGACAGCAGCACCAGGAGTTCCCTGAGGCCAGGCCTTGAATGTCTTATCTCCGATGGTCACCTCAACACTCTTTTTGTGTGGTAGGGAAGGATCCAGATGGAGCCTCGCCGGCTGTTCGGCCGGGCGGCGGTGATGGGCTTGGCCTTCGCCATGAACTCCTGGCAGACAGCAACACCCCAAAACTGAAATCAGCGGCTAGCAGGGCAGATTTCTGCCTCTCGAGTCATGCTGGAGCTCTG